ATCCTCACAGTCAAGGCTCTCTATGGGGCCATGACGACTCCCGCCCTCCGAGCAGCAGGCATAAAGGAGCGAGCTCCCCCGTCGCAGCGGCCTGGCGCAGGACAGTCGTCGGTCTTGGAGGCTGCCGAGCATCGCGAGACGGCACGAGAAGCTGTGCGGAAATCTCTGGTCATGCTCAAGAATGGTGCCAAAGGAGCGACAGGCAAACCTATACCTCTGTCCACGACGGGCAAGTATCTTGTCGCTGGGAGGTGTGCAGACAATATCGGCCTGCAGAATGGGGGATGGACGAAAGACTGGTAAGTGCGTGGCCCTTAACATCATCACACACAGCTCTCTATGGGCCATTCGGCCGGCTAATCAGTCCTACACTCATCGCTCTCATAGGCAAGGCAGTGCCAGCTACCCGAACCACCTTTTCGGGAGCAAGAGTGAATCGATCTACGAAGGCATCAAGAAGGCTACGGAGAGGGGCGGGTCGGCAACCCTGTACCAGAGCGATGGAGAAATTCCAGACCTCAGCAGCTACGATGGCGTCATCTTCTGCACGGGAGAAGACCCATATGCAGGCAACAGAACAAACACCTTCGCATGAATCGTGCTTATGGTTCCCATCATATTTGCTAATGCCAACCAGAGTATTTTGGTGACCGTCAGTGGCCGGCTTCCATGCATTTTACTGAGACGCAGCTCCTCAATAAGGTCCGGAGTAAGTACCCGTCTTTGACCATCGTGACCATCTTGTGCTCGGGCCGCCCGCTCTACATGAATGAAGAGATGAATCTGAGCGATGCCTTCATCGCGGCGTGGCTACCTGGGACACAAGGTGGCGGGGTGGCAGACGTGCTCTTCGGGAAGAGCGACTTTGTGGGCAAGTTGTCATTTCAGTGGGCGCTGAATCCCTGCATGACCATGCAGTACAACGGCACCCATGGTGACGACCCGCTCTTCAGCAACATGATGCTGCCAATCGGGTACGGGCTGGCGTACTCCGATGACTCGCTGATGCCAACCCTCAAAGTTGACCACTTGCAAGTAAGACGGACGGAAAGTGCACACAAATTCACATATCCGACTTCTGTACCCTGGCTGTGTGCGACCAGTGCGGTCAGGAAAGAAGGCAGGATACACCAAATCTCGCCAGGGCCGCAGACAGTCCGAAAGGCCCTTTCAGCATTCATTGAATTGCTGTCAAGAAATGATCGTCCCTCCTCTTAGATGGTCAGTCTCTTAACCAACTATGAGCCTGAATCGAGGCAACATTTAATCCCATTTTCGGAGCCACACGTTGGAATGACGGCTCGCCGCTAAGGAGGCACACCCATCTGACCCCTCTGTCATCGGATCGTGTGTCTGTGGGTGTGGGCGGTCTCACACGTGAGATGCTTGCGACGATATGATGGCAAGAAATGAGGTGAATTTCATGGAACGTTACAATGAGGACAGACAGGAAACAGCTGAGGTATAGCAAATGGGAGAGAGGGTTGCGTGTAGACAGGCAATGCTTCTTCTGGGAAGCCGCGTAAATGGGAGATGAAAGCCACAGCCAGAGGCCGAAACGCACCCTATCAGTGTGTGGTTGTGCGAGGGAGGGAACATCGAAAGCTTATTTTTTCGTAGGCCGACACTCCCCGCAAGCTTCGTGTGAGATGTGGAGAGTACGGCATAGCGCAGCATGGCACGCTGAAGTATCTACATGTAGCTAAATGTGCTTTCGCCTCTTACGACGATTGGTCTTGTGCGGTTTCTCTTCTGCGGGTTCATCCAGGGCTTCGATCATCCGCCGCGCCGACAGGCCTCGACGAATTTCGGACGATATTCATGGTTTGAAAGAGGTGCTGGAAAGGAGTGAGGTGAGATCGTTTGTGGACGAAACGAAGTCCATTCTCGAACCAGTTCCGTGTCAAAGGGATGAGAGTCCTTTCTGGGTTGCTTTGCGTGAGAGACGGCCGTGATCCTGGCCTGGCTGATTTTTCGTAGGACACACCTTGGCTGCATCCCTTCATCAGCTATGCAAACAGAACGCTGCTACATAGCACAAGCTTGCCAGTTACGGCAAGCAAAACACGCGTTATCTCCTAACGCATGCCAACACTCTCGATAGCGTAGACCCTCTCCACGAATTATCTATTTACTTGGTCACCATCCCGGCCACCTTCATTTCGCGACAGAGCAAGATGCTTCTCGTCACCCTGTTAAAGCTCGTGTTGCTGGTTGGGAAGTCGAGATCGCAAGAGTCGCAGGATGCTCTGTTGCGGGATGAGGAGGGCGTGTTCACGCGATTTGATAAGGGCAAAGAACAGGTATGGTCAGATCAACTCTCAGTCTTGTTCGCTCTCACTTTTCGCGCTTTGCAGTTGGCAAGGAGCGACGTGATCATACTAGACAAGTCATTGAAGCCTGGAGAACACCCACGCAGCACGAAAGGCAAAGACGAAGACACTAGACCTCTCGATCGCTCATTGTCTTTGTCCTTTAGATGACCCGGTGGGCAAAGGCCTTCTCACCCGTCATCTTGAAGCTGATGTTGTCGTCGCTGGCGGCGGCTCGGCAGGCACATCAGCAGCACTCGCCGCTGCAAGAAGCGGGGCGAAAACCGTCTTGATACAGGCGAGGTAAGGTGGCGTCAAGTTCGCGCATATGCATGGAGTCATATTATTGGCACTTTTTGCACGTCACTTGACGAAGGGGAGTCCTGGGCGGCAATATGTCGTCCGAGTCGAAGCTGCATCCAGTGGGTGCTGATCACCTGGGCAATCGGGGCGTCGAGCTTGAGACGGGGGCGCGTGAAGGCGGCATCATCGAGGAATACACCCTTTAGAACTCCTTTGTAAACCCGCAGAGGTCTGGTTCCGTTCACGATCTGACCTTGTATGACATGTTTCGCCGGCAAGACAACTGTACGCTCCTCCGCAACACTTGGGCGGTGGCAGCCACGAAGGTGCAGTCAGCTGACGGCGATGATTGGACAGTTACAGAGGTGATTGCAGAGAACCAAGAGACACAAACTCGATATAGCGTCAAGGGCAAGGTCTTCATCGATGCGACGGGGGATGGGCGCCTCGCCGCTGAGGCAGACATTCCTTACATTATCGGTGAGGCGCGGTATCGGCGGGAATGAGACAGATAGCATTGCCAGTCGTGTCTACCTGGCCGCAGGGCGTGAGGGCAGAGACAGATTTGGAGAAGCACTAGCCGACATGCAGGATGACAACGAGACGATGGGCAGCTCACTGGCCTTCACGTCACGTGACATGGGGGAGAAAATGACATTTCAGGCACCAGAATGGTTGGTGGGAAGCCCAGTGCTACTGGTCTTATCCCCTCTTCATCTCATTGCACAGTGCTTGTTCATGATCAGGGCCACAAAGTACAGACAGTCAGATTTCAGATTTCGCCGCATAAGCGACATTGACCACGGCTGGTGGTGGATGGAGGTGGCGTGGCCCTATAACACTATCCGCGACAACGAGGCCATCCGTAACACACTAATGGAGAGTCTGCTTGGTAAATCACACACACAGTCACACCAGTCACAGAGATAGACAACTGAGCCAGGCGTTCTTCATGTTATTTATGCTGCCCACACAGGAATATGGGACTACGTAAAGAACAGCGGCAAGTATCCTAAGGCAGAGAATCTCGCTCTTGATTGGCTGGAGTGGTGGCCATGCAAAAGAGAAGGTAGGTGACGATCATATGCACGGCCTGTTTTCTGTGGCCCTAGGATTTGAAGGTCCGATTTACGTGGTAGGTCGTCGTTTCCAGGGTTTGTACACAATGACACAAAATGATGTCTTGCCAGACGTGAGTGCGCGAGGAGGTAATGTTCCTCCTCCCGCACCTTATTGGGATCGTGTATCTCACGGCGGCTGGTAGGTCTTCGAAATAGACCCGAGCCCCGATACCGAGACATGTGGCATGTTTGCTCATTGCAGGCCACTCGACCTGCACAACATCAAAGGGATACTCGACACCGCAAGACCTCCGTATGCTTCTTTCAACATGCCTCTCATGTACAGTTAAGAAGTTGTAGGGTAACACATCAATACGACCTGGACGACCTCGGACGCTATGTGAACGACCAGCACGCCTCTCCGATCGCTTGTAGCATCGAACGCCACGAACATGATGCTGGCCGGGCGTCTGGCGTCCTTCTCGCATGTCGTATTCGGCAGCCAGCGAGTAATGAAGACTTGTGCCACGCTGGGCCAGGCAGCAGGCACAGCCGCCGCGTATTGTGCCCTCAGCGATGTGAAACCCTCAACTCTTGCGAATGATGCAAGTAATTTATGCAAACGCGCACATGGGACCTGACTACTACGAGCTCGCTGTGCAGAGGCGGTCTGGAGCATTCAGCAGCAGCTCCTTCGTGACGACCAGTACATTATTGGTGTATACAACGAAGACCCGAGAGATGTTGCACGTAAGGCAGAGGTGACTGCATCAAGTGAGTGGATTGAGGGAAAATACAACGGAAGTGCGGCACAGGTAAAATGAACACACGCGAAGACACGCATGAGTCGCCCTTTGCTGCTCGTATTGCTCTTCCGATCAGATTCTCAGCGGTCAGACTCGCGCCGTGTTCGGTAAGGGCGGTGTTCACGATTCCCAGCAAATCGACGGCATCAATAGGTGGGTGAGCAAGAAGGTGCCTGCATGGATCGCACTTGACTGGAGCGAGTCAATCAAGGATATCTCTCTGGTGAGCGCTTGCCATATACGAGCACAGTTCACTCGGGTCGCCTCCATTGTATGTGGCATGGTGATATGTGGTTGCAGGTGGAGCTGGTGTTTGACACGGGCATGCATCGCACCCTCATGCTGTCGCAGATTGCGAGAAATCTGCAGAAAATGGTGTGGGGCCGTCCGCAGCCTGAGACAGTCAAGAACTACGACATCCAAGTTCGACTGGATGGATCGGACACTTGGCAGAATGTTGCCACTATCGAAGGCAATTATCTTCGGAAGCGTGTGCACAACGTTGCCGATGCTGTCAGGAAGGTGGACAAGGCAGGCAAGGGAGTAGCGCCGCTTCGCGTCTACGTCAGGGCGACCAATGGGGTGGAGCAGGCACGCATATGCGAAGTGAGAGTGTATGGCAACGATGGATTGGAAAAGTTTCCTCAGCCTCCAGAAGGTACGTCTACACAGCGGGAGCAGAAGACCATCAAATGTGTTTCTTTCCGCTTTAAGGCCTCAACATCAATGCCGAGAGACTCGTTTTGCTGTCCGGGCATGCGAGGGCGCTGTAGCCCAGTTCGCCATCCACTGTGTGGAGCTACAGATCGCAGAAATACTCTGTTTTTCAATTATTCGTCCATCCATTGGGCTCTCAGGTGCCGGCTGCCATTGGGCGCCATGCATCCATCGATAAGATCGGTAGGAACCTATCCGCCATCGCCCCAGGCGACGTGAGAATGGACCCACCCAACTTATGTTGGCATGGCGTGGCGTGGTGCACGTCTACCGAGAGACACCTAGCAGGCGATGGGTCGTATCGTGGTTTGCGTCTAGGTTAGACAACACAGTCGGAGGCTTCCCGCGTGCAATGATGAAGCTGTGATAGTATGTAGTTGAAGGAATGTGAGACTGTCTTGATCTTCCCCCTCCGCCGTCACAGCGAGTCTTCAGGCGCCCATTTGTTTGTGTGGGTCTGTGGTCGGCGTTCTTTTTCCTGCCTGTGACTATTGACTCATGGAACCTGACCTTCTGCAGCCCCCTCCCCCTTGTGCTGCTGATTTGATTGGATAAATTGTAGGTACCCGTGAGAGCAGATACTATATGGACACAGACACTGATGCCCAGGGACATAACGCCACGTTGGCATGCAGCCATATAGACATGGAGCGGCATAGAGTCTTTCGTTCACCCACAACCGCATGCGCGTCGAGAGCAGACAAATACAGAAAGGCTGACAGAGCATGCATCGAGTATAGTACTGATACGTCAAGAGCTAAGAGGGAAAGACACGGATAAATGATGGATGGCTAACTCCAGCAGAGCCAAAGGGCTCGTCCTTCCGGGTGTTTCACAAGCCAGCCGCTGGTGCTGTGTTTGCTGTGCTGTATCTGCTTGGAGCAAGGCAAGTACTTCAGGCGCAGGTATGCCTCGGTAATCCTGCCTCCTTTCCTTCCTTCGCTGAGGGACCGGACAAGCGCATCCACTTCGCCAGGCTCACGAGGGGCGATGGTGTTCGTCGCTTCATGAGGCAGCGAAGCGAGACGTGGAGCGACATGTCTGTTCCAGACCGCAGTCCACTGCCCCCCAAACCCCCCAGCATGCCATTGTATTTCTCTGATGCCCTCCTTCGCTCCACGTGTGGAATGAGACCCTCCAGCTACACTCGACAAATCATCACAGAATCGTTGATTGAAAATGTCGACGGCGAAAACACCGGTGCACACAACGGTGACTGCCCCCCCGGGCTTCGTGTGTGCAGCAAGGTATCTCCGGTCCCACAAGGTAGGGTGGTGAGCAGCCTCAAAGAAATCGGGAGCGTGCAATTGCATCGCTTCGTCTGAGTCGACACGAGTCCCGTTGCCCAGAATCTCTCCATATACATGCCGATTGTCGAGAATGATCGACCAGTACGGCTGCTTCCTGAATTCCTTGCAGACGCACATCTCGTCTCCGAGATCTGACGGCCGCTTATCAGAGCTGCACCTTTTGAAGGCACTCTCTACAGAGCGAAAGGCTTCACTTCTGATAAGGGCGCTCTTGATCCAGCACCGCACCCTCCATAGGCCCCGGCGTTGGCGAGTGGCCAGCTTATAGTAGTCCTTCTCAGGGACGAACTCTTTCACGCTGAGAAGAAAATTGCTGGGCATCACCGGATCGTCCGGGGCTTCAGCGAAGGGAATCACTGCAGTAAGGTTGTCTTGGACAAGTTGCTGGATCACGTCTGGGCGCTGCACGATGTACGTGCTGTCAAGAAGGAAGACGTGCATCGCGTTGCTCTTATGAGCGATCTGGAATGCGTGCGATTGGGCCTCAGTAACCTTCTTGTCCTTCGTCTCCTCAATCACGTCTGCAAATCGTGCAGTGAACCCCTTATCAAGCTCCAGCCGGCACTTCGGGTCACGCCAGATGAACAAGATGGTCTTTTTGTAGTCCAGCTTCATCTCCTCTAGTCCCCGGACAAAGTCGTCAATAAAGGGTGAGTCTTTGCAGAGGACTGCGAGAACCATCAGGGGCTGGACATAGGGAGAAGACTCGTCTCGGGTGTGCCACTTGGACCCTTCTTCTTTCGACCATGCCCCAGCCTCATAGTTGCTGAGATGGAAAACCAGTTCCTTGCCGCTCCCGGAGTTGCCGTGGACCATCGCTGCGGCAGGCAGGCCATCTCGACGCGTAAAGGTCAGGCCCTCCACGGTCCCTCTGCCATCATCGGAGTCATACAAGGCGGGACTCAGCTGCCACTCCCACTCCTTGAGTTGCTGTAGTCCTTGAAACAAGTAGCGATCGTAGTCGAGGTGTATCTGGACGCCGTGGCCTATGTCGTCGTTCAGATAGCGGAGAGTGTAGTACAGCTGATCGTCAGCGTCCTCTTTCGCGCCTTCGTCTGTCCAACGCTGGAGAGCCAAACTCAGGGCACTGGCACGGCCTACATACTGCCCTGAACATAGGTATCTGTATTGGTCTTCGTAGTTGAAGGATTCTCTGTTGCGAGCCGGCCGCGGATACCGCTCTCCCAGACTGATCCATAAGCACACAGGCATCAAACGCTTTCGAAACTGTATATTCCCACGCATCCATGTCGCAGACCTTGGATCGGGCCACGGGTGGCGGTCGCTCGCAAATACGATGGTTTTATTATCGGGTAGCATTGTCCTTACTCGGCGAAGGAGTTCTTCACGAGGAACGCGCACAAGTGTGTCGTGTCCGTCAGTGAACATGACTAACCTATAGGACGACGCAACAAACAATGTGGCTCTGTCAAGTGATATATGGTTCGCCTGACAAGTTTGGTTCCTGTTGAGCGAGCCAGGCCTTAAGGGTAGTCAACTTCTGAGGGGACAAAAGCACTTGTTCTGCATCCATGCTTTTTCGAACAAGGACAGTGTATGTTGTTTCGACAAACCGTGCCAAATCCACCCCATTCTTCCTCTAAGCCGAGGGCCACAAACGGCACGTCGAAGTACTCCGCGGACCGCTTCAAGGATTGGTACCCCTCGACGTGTCCGTCACTTACAACAGTTATGAGGACGAAACGCGGCACGTCACCAGAAGCACCAGGCATCCCTCGAGTGAGGTCCACCATCGTGTCACGAGGCGCCCCTTCCGGGAGATCCACACAGCTTGTAGTTTCTGGTGTCGAGTGGCAAGGGAACTGACACAGAGACATGTTCCTCAGGGGCAGCACTTTCTTAGACAGATAGAGAATGCGAGAGAGCGCCAGGATTGACATGACCAAGGCGACCAAAAACAAGCAAAAGCGTCTTAGACGAGTCATTTCTTTCCTGCCGTCCGTGTTGCCTCCGTTTACGAGACCTGTAGAGAAGGCTTTCCGTTGCCTGCAGATGTGAGGGATGCACTTCTCACCGTGGGAGGTGAATCAAGTGTCCCTTTCCAGTGGTCCGCAACTACACCAAGTGTCCCCTTCCAGGCTTGATCCCCTGTGCTGCATGTTATTTTGTAACTTGTGTTACACGAGCGGGACAACCTTGTCATTCATTCATTCATTCATTCATTCGGCGTCCTCATGAACACACAAGGCATTCATTCGGACGAGGCGAGCAGCACTGCAGGACACCCTGCAGAGACCAGGGCGGCGAGTCCGGCTTACCAAGGTTTCCCTTGGCTACCCCTGGGTTTCACATGCCCCGTATTTTAGAAGCGCGGGGGAAACGCGCCCGGCCCAACTTCTATCCCGCTGGGCGGCGGCTGGCTGGTTGTGCTTTTGTGTGTGAGGTGGCGTGCCAAGTATATGTGTTTCGCTTCTTCTACGCCGTTCTCCTTCCACATCGTTCACAATGCATCCACGGATGGATGGATGCATGGAGAGTTATTGGATGGACGGAGGCATGCACGCGCATGGTGAGTGATTGAATGAAGAGGCATGCTCCTTCTGAGCTCGCAGGGCCTCAGGCCCTTTTTCTCCTTAATATGACGGCTGCTCGGGCCACACTTGCCTGCATCATGCCCAGCTCGAGCAGCTCCCCAGAATGAGTGCCGAATCGACCCCAGTCTCGGCAGACTCAGCCCATCCGCCCCCGCCGTCTCAGGAGGGCGTCTCTGCAGTGCAGGGGGATGATGCCTCGCCCTTGCAGCCAGCCGCTGGTCCTGTGCGGTGTTGCCCATGCAACGAACGCCGGAACAAGACCAATGGATCGAGATGCAAGAGGAAGGGGAAGGTGCTGGGCTGCCCCTGTTTCGAGAAAGGCAAGAAGTGCACCAACTGCCATTCCTGTGACCTAGGCATATGCGAGAATCGAGAGCCCGAG